AAGGGAAGCCCCATTAAGTAATAACTCCCTCCTCCCATCCCCTGAATCCTATTTCTATGGAGTTGTCTATTCTGGATATTTTCTGTAAGGGGAATCATAAACATGTGGTCCTTTGTGTCCGGCATCTTTCACTTATGTTTTCTCCATTACTGCCGCCTTTTGTGTTTTTTCCTTGTATTTTGACTCCCTTATTTCCTTTTATATATATATTCTTACCTATCTTTAAAGGAAATTTTATGTCACATCCATTATAACTTATTTACTTAATCTGTATTAAATACAGGATTATTAAAATACAAAGCAACACTGCTCAAAAGAAATGTCATTTTTTTAAAAATACCATTTTTTTTTTGGAGACATAGTCTCACTCTGTTGCCCAGGCTGGAGAGCAGTGGCATGATTACAGCTCCCTGCAACCTCTGCCTCCTGGGTTCAAGCGATTCTCCTGCCTCAACATTCCAAGTAGCTGGGATTATAGGCACCTGTCAGCATCCCCAGCTAATTTTTGTATTTTTAGTAGAGACAAGGTTTCATCGTGTTGGTCAGACTGGTCTCCAACTGCTAGGCTCAAGTGATCCGCCCACCTCAGCCTCCCAAAGTGCTGGGATTACAGGTGTGAGCCACTGTGCCTGGCCTGAAATGTCATGTTTAAGCTTAGTGTCTAATGACATGTTTTGTGCTGTTTTGCTGATTTAATAAATAAGGCCACATACTGACATGAAATAGTGGTTTAGTAATCCCTTGTCTACTCCTGAAAGCTGAAGGCTGAGGAAGGACATGCACATTCTCTCACAGGCGTCACATGAAAAATCTTCCTCATCCTGTAGGATTTAGAAGGTCGCCTTGGATGCCCAAATGGATGGTACATTCCAGGTGGAAGGTTGCAGATTGTAGGGAACAGTGTCACCACCTTTGTTGTGCATCCGTGACACCTTATATAATCTTTTGTGCACATGTATTGGAGGGTGCTGCATACCAATCTAGATCAGGATCCAAATCAGACACTAGCGCAGGAAAGCAGCAGCTGGCCAGGAGGTGGCAGCAACAGTTCAGCTCAAGGCAACTGCTGCTGAGCAGAATGAAGGTCCAGCGTGGCCAAGTCTTCCTGATCTTTCAGGGGCACAGGAAATCTGGATTTTTAATGCGTGATGTTAAAATATACATATATCATCATATATAAAACATACATATATAGGTGTTTCTGCACAGTTCCTGGCTTATAACTCCCCTAGCCCTTGTTACAGTCTTTTGGGTGTGTTAAGCCTCAGGGGCAGGCCTCAGGAAACAATCTCTCAGAGTTCTCCTGCCCTTCCTTCACCCCTAAGGCAAAATCCTAATCTTCTCCCTCCTTTTTCTTTTTTAGAGACAGGGTCTTGCTCTGTCACCCAGGCTGGAGTGCAGTGGTGTGATCATAGCTCACTGCAGCTCCGAACTCCTGGGCTCAAGTGACCCTCCCTCCTCAGTTTCCTGGGTAACTGGGACTATAGGCACCTGCCACCACCCACCCCCTACTGATTTTTTCGAATTAAAATTTTTACTTTTGTAAAGACAGGGTTTTGATACACTGCATAGGCTGGTCTTGAGCTCCTGAGCTCAGGGAATCCTCCTGCCTTGGCCTCCCAAAGTGCTGGGATTACAGGCGTGAGCCTGAGCCTGGCTTTTTTTTTTTTTTTTTTTTTTTTTTGAGACAAGAGTTTCACTCTTGTTGCCCAGGCTGGAGTGCAATGGCGTGATCTCGGCTCACCACAACCTCCGCCTCCCGGGTTCAAGTGATTTTCGTGCCTTAGCCTCCTGAGTAGCTGGGATATTAGGCATGTGCCACCAGGCCCAGCTAATTTTGCATTTTTAGTAGAGATAGGGTTTCTCCATGTTGGTCAGACTGGTTTCGAACTCCTGACCTCAGGTGATCCACCCACCTCGGCCTCCCTAAGTGCTGAGATTACAGGCGTGAGCCACCGCACCTGGCCTTATTTTTATTTTTTTGAGACAAGAGTCTCACTCTGTCACCCAGGCTGGAGTGCAGTGGCACGATCTCTGCTCACTACAACCTCTGCCTCCAGGTTGAAGCAATTCTCCAGCCTCAGCCTCCCAAGTAGCTGGGATTACAGGCGCTCGCCACAATGCCCAGCTAATTTTGTATTTTTAGTAGAGACAGGGTTTTACCATGTTGGTCAGGGTAGTCTACAACTCCTGACCTCAAGTGATCCACCTGCCTCAGCCTCCCAAAGTGCTGGGATTACAGGCATGAGCCACCGTGCCAGGCAAATGCTGCCATTTTAAGGCCTACACTTTGGGTAGCAAAAGTAAAGATGTTGACCCTAAATACTTGAGAAGCCTGGGGCCAGTGATAAATATAAAAATGGTTACAAAAATTTAGGAATGAGCTTTGTATTGTACTATGTTTAAAGTTATCCATAGCATCAGTCTTTTCAAATTTGCTTTATTCAACACATTAAGGATGCTATAACTTATGCTATTAAAACCTCATAGGCTGGGTGAGGTGGCTCACACCTGTTAATCCCAGCACTTTGGGAGACCCGAGTGGATGGATCACTTGAGCCCAGAAGTTCAAGACCAGCCTAAGTAACATGGTGAAACCCCATCTCTACAGAAAAAGAAAAGAAAAAAAAAAAAGTCGGGTATGATGTGTGCCTCCTGTAGTACCAGCTGCTCGGGAGGATAAGGTGGGTGGATCACTTGAGCCCAGGAGGTCAAGGCTGCAGTGAGCTGAGACGGCACCACTGCACTCTAGCCTGGATGACAAGAGACCCTGTCTCAAAAACAAACACTTAACAGACATTTCATATTTCACCTTCATATCCTCACAACTACTGCCTTTTGTGTAGTAAGTGTTCAAATTTAGGCTATTCAGGATTATGCTGGAAGAGTAATTTCACCTCACAGAATGTAAAAAGTACATTCTGAACAATGCTACCGCCTCCACATTTGAATTAGCTGGAACAAAAAGAGTAAACTTCTAAAGTTAGTCATTTTGTTTAAAAGTTAGACAAAATCTATTAATCAGCCCCCAAACCAACTGATCTTTTATTTTGAGACAGGGTCTCACTCTGTTACCCACCAGGCTGGAGTGCAGTGGCATGATCACAGCTCACTGCAGCCTCAGCTTTCCTGGGCTCAGATGATTTGAGCCACCTAAGCCTTCTGAGTAGCTGGGACTACATGGTGGGCGCCACCACGCCCGGCTAATTTTTTGTATTTTTAGTAGAGACAGGGTTTCGCCATGTTAACCAGGCTGGTCTTGAACTCCTGGTCTCGAGATTGGCCTGCCTTGGCCTCCCAAAGTGCTGTGAGCTACTGCACCTGTTTACACTGATCTTTTATATGAGTGAAGTGATCATGTATTAAAATAACAAATGATGCTAAGAAAGTCCAGTTTCTGGACTACTGTGAGGACTAATTTAGCAGTCCTTTCACAATAAATTCAGCACTGTGGCAAATTTATAAATAATAAATGTTTGACACCACCTGTGCCTTTTTTTTTGGTAATTTTATTAAGAGTACCCAGAAAACCTTTCAAGGTTTCAGTAGGTCTGTTCAATCTTGCCAGAAGCAAGTTAACACAGTAGAAGAAATTAGAGCCTTAGCAGTCAAGACATAATGCTAGAGCCTGCGGGACACCGATGTGGACACAAGTCAACAAACAGCATACAATAATATGCCAAGATCTTCACCAGATCTGTAAGATGCACTCATAAAACTTCTTTTGAAGAACTTAAAAATATTCTTAGTAAAAAAGTAGCACTACAAATTTACAAAGTGATTCTATCCAAATTGGCTTTTTATTTATTAATAATAAAGTCTACTGACAGATACTGCTTGCAAATAGTATAGACACAAAAATTATAAAAATAAACCAGTAGATATTTAGGGCAGATGCAAAAATTTGCACATTAGGTCATTATAAACTAGATATCTTAAGCAAAAAAAGCAAGGTGCAAACCAGCAAGTATGATATATTACCAATTGTGTTTTTAAAAGGAGAGAGACAGATACTTTTACATATGCATAGGCTATATCTGGAAGAATACTTAAGAAAATGCTATTAGTGGTTGCCTAAAGAACTGGGTGGATCAGGGAGTGGGCAGGAAACTCACTTTCACTGAATATCCTGTGGTACTATTAAAACAATTTTTAAAATCACATTCATGTACACATTTGTTTAAACATTTTGACTAGAGGTTATATTTAAGACTAAGCCCTTGGCCAGGCGCAGTGGCTCACCCCTGATCCCAGCACTTTGGGAGGCCGAGGTGGGATCACTTGAGATCAGGAATTCGAGACCAGCTTGGCCAATATGGTGAAACCCCATCTCTGCTAAAAATACAAAAATTAGCCAGGCATGGTGGCGTGTGCCTATAGTCCTAGCTCAGGAGGCTGAGGCACAAGAATCGCTTGAACCTGGGAGGCACAGGCTGCAGTGAGCTTAGATCACACCACTGCACTCTAGACTGGGCGACAGTGCAATTCCATCTAAAAAAAAAAAAAAAAAAAAAAAGACTAAGCCCATGGACTTAACATAAAATTACTTTTTTAAAAAATGCCTTTAAAAAAATAAAAGTGAAAAAAGACAAGGTCTTGCTCTGCACCCGTACTGACGTGCAGTGGCACAATCATAGCTCACTGTGATCTTGAACCCCTGGGTTCAAGCGATCCTCCTGCCTCAGCCTCCACAGCAGCTAGGACTATAGGCATGGGCCACCATGCCCGGGTGATTTTTTAAATTTTTTGTAGTGACAAGGTCTCACTATGTTGTCCAGGCTGTTCTTAAACTCCTGGGCTCCAGAGATCCTCCTGCCTTGGCCTCCTAAAGTGTTGGGATTACAGGCATAAGCCATTATGCCTAGCCAAAATTACTTAAGTATAAACCACAAGAAAAATTATTTAAAAATTCCAAGGATTTTTGGAAATATTTTCATGAAAGAGGTTTACAAGATAAGAAATGAGTGAGAAATGCTGATGTAGTACATATTTTATTGCAGTGATATTTTCAGGAAGAACTTCATTTCCAAGTGTCGGATATTTCAGGGGGTATGTGACGACTGTAAGCTGACAACAGTAGCCAAGGTGAGCCTTTTCTTCTTTCCTAAGAAAAAAGTCTCGTGCAAATATTTAGGAAGCTTGAAATCATCATTTTAAGGAAAAAACTGAAATATCTTACAGTGAGTTTTAGGTCTACTTGACAGAGGAATCAAGATTAAATTTACAGCCAGCCATTAATATGCTACTCACCTGCATGTTATTCAGGAAAAGAAAAATATGTCAATATACAAGAATAATGAAATGTTTTATTTTTTGTGTCTTGAAAACAATTACTAAAATGTAATTCAGGATTTTATTTCTCTAGCCTGGCTTCTCACTGGTATCATGAAGGTCATGGCACAGACATTAACTGTTCCAAATATATGACGTATTGTTCTGTGCTTTCTAGGCTGGGTAGATACCCTCCATATACTCTTTGTTTTTCCCACTATCCCAACTGAATAGTAGTATAATATATTCCCTCCCCTGCCCCCACCAAGTACATAGCCTCAATCCAAAAGAAGAAAGCTGGATTACCCACCTCTTCCCAATCTATACCTTTTAAGTTGTTTTAGAAACAGTAAGAGATGACCTGCCTTCTCCATTACACTCGTTGGTTCTGACACACAGAATAGCAAACAAAGCCAATTTACATGATGCCCATGTCTTTATACTTCCACACTCTGGAACAAACACACTTGCAAACAATCAGCTCGGGGAGTGTTAAAAGGCCCTCAAAAAATTCAGAATATCTCTAAGTATAAAATATTTCAAAAACATCCAGTTCCAAATAGTCCCTGAGCACACTGTTCATTCCAGCTAGAAGTCTCCAGAGAGGTAATGAATGAAAGGCACATTTTCTCCAACTTGAGGACCGCTGCATAGTACTAGACGGTACCAGCCAGGCTGATCAAAAGTTCTAATTGAGGACATCCCCCACCCCTTCCCAAATTTAAATCTTGTACACTGGAAAAATAATTTAATGTCAGATGTAAACACAACACTTTCAACTAGAGGAGTGGCAGCTGGGGTACAACCCTTCCATGGGAGGTTCAAGAATAAAGGAAAGCTTCAAGCCTCCTCTTCTTCCTTTTCCAAGAAATCAGTCAATGTTCCATTATCAACAGGAATTAATAAATACTCTACTCCATCAGTTCCCTGAAAGATTTAAGAATACCTGTACGTTAGTCATTCATAAGAGGTATATGAACTCTTCTATTGTAGAGGCTAAAGAAAAAATGAATTTATTTCTTTAATGTAATATTTTAAATATATAAGTATAAAAATTAAGGCAAAAGGGCACACAGTCATATATACTTAAATATATGGAGTTACAGTTAAACAGCCTTATAGTGGAAAAGACAACTAATTAGAGGGTGGGTAGGTGGGTATTTATTTTTTTCATTGTGCTTTAGATCATTTTTCACTTTCCTGCCCTGTCCAGAATCTAACACTATTGATGTCTCTATCCTTTCTTCCTCCTTTCAACAAGATCCTTCCTTTTGGCTTTTCAACATTTAATACATTTAAGTATGTCCAATTTTTCAGTAACCCTCACTAGACATCTTCATTCCTCTCCATCTATCACATTATCTCTGCACTTCTCCAGGCAAGTTGGCTATGATGGCAGTCTCCATTTCCACACCTCATTCAACACAGTTCAACTGAGCTATTGCTCCCATTATCACATCGTTTGCTTAGACCATCAGGAATTCTATATTCCTAAATCTCACAGACATTCTCAGTCTTCATCTTTTTGGCCTCTCAGCAGCATCTGACACTGCTGACTATTTTCTCTGCATTAAAACATGCTTCTCTTGGCTTCTGTGACATCACATCCTGGTTTTCTTCCTAGTTCTCTGGCTGTTTCTCTCACCTTATTCTTTACTTGGCTTGTTAAATGTCAGACTTCTGGTCTTATTTCCTAGCTCTCTATTCTCACTAAATGTCCTTCCTTTAGGTAGTACCCCCAATGCCTGGTTTCAGTTATAATCTAAATACATAAGAATCATAATCTTCTCTCTCCAACCCAGATCTTTCCTCTGGTTTCTTGTCCTAGGTATCCAACTGCATAGTTGACATTTCCATCTGGAAATCTCAAAGGAACCTCAAACAGAGTTGTCTAAACTGATTAAGATCATGAACTCATCATCTGTCTCCCTAAAATGCCGCTCTTTCTGTGTGTGTGTGTGTTGTTCTTTTTGAAATAGGGTTTCACTCTTGCCCAAGCTGGAGTGCGGTGGTGTGATCATGGCTTACTGCAGCCTTCACCTCCCAGGCTCAAGTGATCCTCCCACCTCAGCCTCTTGGGCAGCTGGGACTACAGGTGTGTGCCATCACAACCAGCTCTTTTTTTTTCCCCCCCATAGACAGGGTCTCACTGTGTTGCCAGGCTGGTCTCGAACTCCTGGGCTCAAATGATCTACCCACCTTGGCCTCCCAAAGTGCTGGGATCACAGGCGTGAGCCACCACGTCTGGCCTCCTAGTCTTCCTTTAGATCTCAGCTCAGTGGTCTCTTCTGATATCTATCCATAAATAGGTCAAATCCACCTATTTAAATAAACTCTTTCAGAACTGTACTTTCTAATCATAGGACTTCTTTACAGTTAAAATTTTATGTATGTGATTACTTGACTAATGTCCATCTCCCCCATTAGACTTTAAGCTCCATAAGAAAAGCAATCAGGTTTTTGCTTACTACTGTATCCTAATACTTAGTGCAATATGTATGCAGTTAATACTCAATAAATATAGACCAAATTAATGAATGAGCAATAGGGAAAAAACCAAAGAACAGAATTATTTGACTCACACCATGTTTCTAATTGCCTATTACTCTGGACTAGAACATATGAGGAGTTTTCTGCTCTGCTGTGCTCTGAAGCAGGGTACTTCTACCACGGCTCTTTCTACAAACTCAAATGGCATATCCCCTAAATGAATCTGCGACCCAACATGGGACGTCAGTTTCAAAATCAGGTCTGAGTCAAAGGTATACTTGTCCTTAAGTAAATGATATAGACTATTCCTGGCATACAATGCTACAACAGTGGAGTCTTACCTTCTTTGTTCTTATAAGCTTGTGGTCCCTAAATTCAGTTAACTGGGCCCGGAGTGTCAGCTCACTATTGACGAGGAATGCCTCCCGACACTGCTGGTAAAAATCTTGAAAAGAAAGGCCTGGCAAGTTCAAAAGGATATGAACATAAGTCAGCACTTAAGACATGACCCAATATACAAACACCCATACAAAAGAACACAGAAGAAAAGTGCTATTTGCATGTTATCCCAGAGCAGTGAACAAGTATTGATAGGACTTTTAAAGAAGGAACAAGTAAGTCATGAGAGCAGAACAATTATTAAAATGTTTGTTGAAATCATTTCTGCCAAAGGGGAAGACAATCTCCTAAGATGCCTAGAATATGAAAAATATGTAATTGGCAGATACACATCCATAGTTAGCACAGAACATTTTTAAAGTAAGCTGGGTTTGTCTTTCAATTTGTGTTGGCAAACACCTTGCTCAGCAGTGGATCTGTAGAGTTGCTTGAAAATTTGCTATGTGGCAGACATACCCATCATGAGTGACCACTTACTCACTGCTGTGAAAAACTGCACTTCTGTCATTAAATTCCAGAGAAAGGAAATGTATGGGGTAAAACAAAAATTACACAATTGAATGTCATAAATATTGGATACCAGTGTAAGAAGGGTTATCCTGGTTGTCCAGCTGGTACTTTATTAGTAGCCTGAAAATTCCCCTAAAAACAAAAAACAAGAATTTAAATCCAAAATGTTAACATCAAAAGGTAACAACTAATAGCAAAATACACAAAGAAAATGTCAAATACTTGGCCTATCTGCATTATCTTCTGTTCTTCCAAGGAATATCATATCCTTGCCTACTTAAACAGAAAGCTTTTTTATTTCTTCTAAAGAAAAATATAAGCTGAGTGTAGTGCCTCACACCTATAATCTCAGCACTTTGGGAGACTGAGGTGGGAGAACTGCTTGAGCCCAGGAGTTTGAGACCACCCTGGGCAACACAGTGAGACTCTGTCTCTATAAAAAATTTAAAAATCAGCCAGGCATAGTGGTATGCGCCCATGGTCTCAGCTACTCGGGAGGCTGAGGTGCAAAGATCACTTGAGCCTGGGAGCTTGAGGCTGTACTTGAGCGACAGACACCCTGTCTCAAAACAAATATGAAAATATTTTTTTCTTACTTTTTAGGTTAGCCTTGGTAGAAAAGTTGGAATACAGAATAACATCTAAAGAGAAAAATATCAATCCAATATCCATTAACACTTGGTATTGAGATCATATGGGGTATGCTGTTGTCTCAAATCTTTGTTGAATGAAGCGGGTGGAAACACCATAAACTGATACATTTATATACTGCATATACCACTTTATACCTTGCTTCTTCACTTTTTGATTTTTCCCATGTCTTTAAAACTTCTCCTAAACAAGTTTTTCTTTTTTTTTTAGCTATATGTAAGAGGAACTTAAGGAAGTTTTAACAGCTGCTTATCTACCATGTACCATAAACTTACCATTTCCTTATTGGTTTGGATGTTTACATTATTTCTAATTTTAGATTAAAAATAACTCTTAATGGATGACTGGATACAGAAAAAATAATTCTGCACTAAATAAAACTGTACCTATTTCTTCATATTCTGAATTATTTCCATAGGAGAGTGAACCAGGTAGAATTATGGGGTTGGAAGCAGTGTTACACAAACTAAGACTCCCATCAGTCCTTGGGTATGCCACAAATTCAAAACTTATATGCATTTTCATTTTTATGCAGGTCCAGAAAACAATGACTATAGTCATATTTTGGATCGTCTCAATGAACACTTTTTTTTTTTTTTGGAGACAGGATCTCACTCTATTGCCCAGGTTGGAGTGCAGTGGTGCACTCTTGGCTCACTGCCATCTTGGCCTCCCAGGTTCAAGCGATTTTCATGCCTCAGACTCCTGAGTAGTTGGGATTACAGGTGGACACCACCACACCCAGCTAAATGTTTATACTTTTA